AAGAGGTGGACTCCAAAGTGCCATTGTGAGCCAGCAAACATTTTTCTTCTCAAGGAGCTCCAAGAAAATTATTCATCGTGCTTCAGGCTGGATTCAACGCAGGAAACGGCACCGGATGGACGCCGCTACCGTATTCCGGGGAAGGACGAGTGATTAAGCTAAAGGGTAAATTTTGCTTTTTTTTTATTTGTATCAAATGTCAAAAACTTGGGTACTATTTGTCACTAGAGCATTAAGGGGGGAAGGAAGGGGATTAGGGTGGAGCAAGAAAGAAGCGCTGCCTCTTCATTGCCTCACCCCCCTTAGGACAATGGTCGCAGAGTCTTTTGGAATAGCCGATATGTTCTAGATTTCTGCAGGTACCTGAGAATTGAATAGTTTTCAAAAATTTATCCTAAAAATGCAAGTGGCCCCTAAAATCCAATTCCATTTTGTGATTTTTTCTTAGCTGTAGGCTTGACGGAGCGTCGCTGGCGTTACCTTGATTTTTTGAAAAGTTTTTGTCGCACTTCTCGAAAAAATACCTCGAAGCGATCATATCACTCTAACTTGGCCATAAAACGCACAACGTTTTGTTTCAGCTTCTGTCTTCCCTTTGTTATAAAAAGCTCGTCTTAAAAGTATAGGAGCATTTTCGTTTAATATTTCCATCAAAATCACACAATGATAACCATGATTTTGTTCAGAGTTCTCCAATGTTGGAGTACCGGGAAGATGGCTGTTCCGAGTTGATGAGGAGATAATACGTGGTGGATGCAGTAACGAGAGTATTGGTCAGTTTTGTGAATTTTTGGTCTCATAAGCCATATTCGGCAATTTTGGCCGATTTCTTCACTGTACTCGTATGGTATCGTAAGTCATCGTAAGTCTTCTCAAGATTCAAGCCTTTACACTTTCATTAGCAATTGAGAGACTAGATAAATTCGAAAGTAACTTTAAATAATAGCTTGATTGCCGGCAAATAAGCTGTTATTGCAGATTTACGCTTCGTAAATTTGCAATACATATTTACGAAGCCAGCTTCTAGGGTATTTGACGACGGCGCCCATAGCTGCAACGATGATTGGCGGTGTCTATGTGAATGTCTCTGGTCCCTGTCTGCGTGGAGGCGATGTGGTCAAAGTGATATTTGACGAATACCAAGTAGATTGTGTCAGGGTTAGTCAAATAGTAGAGAACGTATAACTCATGAAGAAGTTTCTATAAGTTTTCGCGAGTAAAAATTCAAATTTTCAGCTGAATATGCACAGAGCTCAATGCGTCCTACCAGTGAATCGCATGTACAAAACTGGCCTGGTGAACGTAAGGATGAGCCGGGATGGTGGGCAAAGCTACCCTTATGTTGGCACATTTTACCTGTGTAAGTAACACTAGAAGTTTTTCCACAAATATCCCTCTCCTCATCTCCAGCAGCGCGATAGTTATTTGGCTATGAAAATGAATGAATGGAGTATAGCAGAACCTTTTATAGGAGAAAACGCGGTTTTAATGTCTTAAATTTTTGAAAAGAAAATTTATATTAGTCCCGCAAAGTCAGTGAACGCAACGTGACGCACTGCTTCTCCTCGCCTGGCCTTGACTTTGAACACAAGGTTCTCATTGCTTTTATTTCATTGCACCGTTGATTTTATCACTTTTTGACAGAGCATCCTGTGCAGTGAAAAATAAATCAAAAGAATTTCCAGTGCAACCAGCTCTTGCTACCCCAGCCATTAAGCTGATCGACAACCCGAGAGAGCCGCATAATAATTGGCGCAGCGCGAACGCTACACGTCTCCGCCTTGAATGGGCACCGTATAACTTGACCAATGACATGAATGCTATGGTAGATATAAAACTGTTGGGATATTGGGAGGACACGGATGACCATGTTTTTGAAGAGGTAAGAATATTTTTTACTATGAATTTGTTTAGGACGTTCATGTACAAAATATTTTCTTGATAAACTTTTTGTAGGCCTATCGATTTAACTTTAGATAGGTACTATCGCCGAACGAACTTCCAATGATGGATCATACGAGTTTGATCCACGAACATTGGCCAGAACGAGCATGCTTTTTGATTCATGGAGACGATATTCTTTTGGCGGCGTCAGAATTTCTATTTCGGATACTGATGAAAGCACAGGGTAAGAATTTTTGACTTTTTTCCTCTCTAACATCTTTCTATTTTTTCCGTCTTCTGCTTTAACTGAGCATTTTTCCATTTCAGAGTGTTCTGGAGCAAGCTCACACCGTTTGGATGGTACTTCCGTGATGTTTGGGAATATGAATATGGGAGAGATTGGGCGCTGGAACTTTGTCAGGTAAGCGTAATGGAAGTGGAAAGCGATGCAATATTTCTTTATTCTTTTGTCTGCCGATGTAGTTATGAGTGACACAAAATTTTAGAGGTTAAGATTTTCCTACTGTACAAGGGTTTTGACTTACAGATTACAAAAACATGAAGCAGCAAACATTTTTGAAACGGTGGAGTAGAATTGTTTTTATGCTGATTGCGAGCATTATATCCAGTGGTTACGGTAACATTCCTTGGTATGGTTACGTTTTACATGTGGAAAAAAATTCCATCGTGGCCTCGCACAGCTGTTACCATAACTGTGAAGGCGGATATGGTCAGGCGTCAGGGATACTGGTAAAATATCTTTATTTTTTGCGAAGTTAGACCGACCTAAGAGGTAGCTCCTCAGTCATACTTAGTAACCCCAATAAGGAGGTTCCATGCAGAATGAATGTTTCTTTACTGGTTGATAGTTCGTCGAATAATCAAGAGCGCAATGTTCATGCAAAAACTGAGACCCCAGAATTTCGTAACCTAAAATGGAATTTGATAATTCAAAAAATTCTGATTTCTTTCTTTTATAGGATTGGTTCGATTACGATGGTAAGCGAGTCAACTTTGCAATGGATCTCGAGCCGTTCTTACCATGTCCATGCACCCTCGATCAGGCCATGTTGGATTTGGGTAAGTCACATATTCGCCGATCCAACTATTTCTTGAGTAACGAAATTTTCTTCGTAATAAGACCATCCCAGCTTATTGGCTCTGACTGAGCTGTATTTATAGGTAGATACATGCCGTTGATCGGGTGCGATCGCGATGGAGATGCTTCTTGCGAGTACAACAAGGGCTCACAGCATTGTGTAATGAGCGTTGCGTCAACGTTAGTGCAGTTTTCGTGTCTGCCTAAGCGACAGTAGTGAATGCTACAATTCAGGTGGACAGGAGCTGGTCAAGTGTGCTGCTATGACTATGAAGGATGGCTAATGCATTCAGATGACTATGAAAACGCTGCACATCTGCGTTTCTTCAGTCCAGGAACCGCCATGAGGTTCTTCCCAACCACTATGCTTCCTAACACTTTCAACACTATTAACATTATTTCGTCTTCTAGGGCACATCCTATGGGTTCATTCCCGTTCAAGCGACCTCCCTATGTTCCATCGCTTTCCAACTTTCACACGGATATAATGGCTTATGAAAAATGCTGCAAGTGGGCTGGTGCTTGCGAGTTTTACTTTTGGCGTAGGCAAACCAGCGGCTGCCAGGAGTACATACCACCGGTGGCAGGTCCGCATCAACTCCAAAAGTCTTCAATTATTTCTATTTTCTTACGAAAGAAGAGCGAGTTTAGGAATTGCGTATGGTGATCCACATTTTGTCACCTTCGATGGGACACGATACACTTTTCAAGGAAAGGTGAGAGATTGTAGTAATTCTGTGTCACACTGCTGTCCAGCCCAAAATGTTTTAGGGATATTACATTCTTACAATGAGCAAAGACCCGCGTCATGATTTCCAAGTGCAAATTCGAATGGAACAGCCTCCAAAAACTGATTGTAAGTAACTTTATCTTTTGAGCTCGAACGCCTTGATGACCTTATCTATACACTTTATTTGACTTACTAGAAACGATAAATCGTCATATTTGGTCAATTTCGATTTTGATTTTGAATTTCAACACTTATGTAATATTTGGCTTAGCCACTTTTAATGTTCTCCCAAAATGTGGAAGGGAGTGCTGGTATCGGCTAAATTCGGCAGACACTTGGGCGTGCGTCAGTAAGCCATTATGTTTGGGACAAATTGATTGCAACCCGATTTATTGATTTTTGCAGCTTTTGCTAGGAAAATCTTTTCTCTTTACCCAAAAGGATGAAAGGAATCATGAAACCTGAACAAATTCGGCAGAAAAATGGGGTGGAGCGTGTGTCAACGGGTGGCGTAGCGTTATGGAGCAAAGCTACGCCGCATTCGCCTG